GGGGAACTCGTCCGAAGTTGCTCTTCGGGTCATTAAGGGCGAGGCTTTTTTCGCAGGTTTTTGACCGTTTCACTTCGTTTTTTCGCCATCTCCCCCACTATATATCGCCCTGCTAGCATTTTAGGTCCAGTACCAAATTATCGTGCCAACTGCCTCTGAGCTTGTGTTGACTAACCGCTCGTATAGCTCCGTGGTATGCGGAGTCAACTTGATACCGCGATAATAGGGGCACCCCGTCGCGTATCCCTTTTGCTTAAAATGGGGACGATTATCCTGCTTCTTCATACACTTGCCATCGTCCTCTCGGCCGTTGTATTGTTCAGGCAGGTTGGCTACCCCACTCTGTTCCCGAGTGCATTCTATGCCCTGATCGGTACCCATCGGGCCAACCGCCTCCCAACAGTCACTCTAGCTATTTCTCCACAGAGGTCCTCCCATGACCAAGTGTCAGAAATAATGCTGTTTTGCAACCGTCTTTGACGGTATGTAGCGTCCAAACAGAGAAAAATCAATGGCTATGGAACCTCGAACTACGGACCGAATACGACTTCTCAGCCCCAGCGCACAAATATGATCCTACCCTCTTCCGGAGATCTCCAACGATGATGAGCGGCTTTGGTGTGGTTGCATCGTAACAGAGTTCGCTTCAGGCAGTTGCCTAGAAGCACAAGAGGCTGATCTTTCATCGCGCATCTTTCTCCTCCAATATTCCGAGTACCTTTATTTAATCCAGACGTTTTCAAGCTATCTTCATGACGTTCACCACTACACGTCAACGAAGAATGGTATTCTCTCTGCACTTCCCACGGCTTCCTTATGGTTGTCGAAACTCGCGAGCAGCTACGCCAACACTTGGCTGCAGAGGCACACCAATTGGAAGAGGAGCACTATCTGCAAAGTTTGTTTTTTTAATATGTTTTTGGGTGCTGGCCCACCTTTAGGTAAATGGAGTAATCCTAGTCGTGAGCAAAGTAGGCCTTGTCGCAAGAGTTGATTCTGTGCCAAGCTGACAGGTCGAAGGTGATAATGACAGAGACAGGGCCTATTTTGCTCCATATTGACAGGTGTATCAGGTACCCCTCGGCGGAATGGTTTTCGTTCAGACCCACGCGGGATCGACTTCTCGGAGTCCCTGGAAGGAAACGCAGAAAAGCTTACAGGTATATCTGATGTGAACCAAGGGGCGTCTGGCAATGGCGGAGGATTCAAGATCGCACCGTCAGTGGGTATACTGAAAGGTTGACGCTGGCACGAAGAATACCACCAGCTGTCGCCTAAGATGGGCCTTGATTTTTGCATCTCCAAGTATAGGCGTGTAAAGAACGATTGAAGGCTCTGGCAGTGATGGTCTACTTCAATTTCTAATCATTCAGGTGTTGAACTCGATAGCGTCGCTTGGACTTGGCGCCTTTCTTTTCGCAGCCACACTTCTGGATTCTTCGCGTGCACCGCTCGCGGTCTTGTTTCTTTGCCTGAGTATGGCGTCAGCAGGTGAATTGCACAGTCTGTGATATTTCCACTTCCTGAATCTAATTTATATTCAGCACAATAGACTAGTTAGGCTCTTAAAACTCTCATTTTTGGGGCATTTTGACTTGTTCCTCGTTGAATCGCCATTAATCGCATGCCGAATTGCAGGGCTACATACGCCTGGGTGCCAGACAGCCCTCGTTTCGTTGGCACCGGCCTACTCTGGAGCAATTACTGGTTTCACGTTCTTCTTTGTGGCTTGCTCCGGGATTGTGAATCCAATAATGACCAAATGGATCGCTAGGGTTAGTGAAAAGTTTATTGCTGGTAAAAATCTACACTCATCCAATTATGTAACGTCATCCAGACTCCCATCCGGTCAAACGCACGACCCCTCCAACCATTTTGGTATCCCTAACGAAGGAAGGATGTTGAGCCTGGCCGTTGGAAACTTGCTAATATGTGCGACCTATTAAGTCATCCCATTCAGAAGTGCCGAGACATTTAGAGAAATGGCAGAAAAGCAAAGGATAGGGCAGCGGGCTACTATACCATTTGGAGGCTAGTACCTTTAGCTATGTATCTGTGAAATTTGGCGAACCTACCCACAGAGGAAGTTCTCGAGAAATTGAAAAGAAGCCTGAGTGGTGAAAATCAGCGCCGGATTTTCAAATCAGGCGTCATAAGAGGAAAGTGCGCTGCTCAAATTCGACCTGCGCCGGACCAGTACTTGGGTGTGGTGGGAGGTTTGGTTCAGCAGCCCCAAGAAGGAAGAAAGGAAAAAATTTGTTGTCGTGGATGGTCCCATAATGTTCATCCTGCACAAGAAAAAAGGGTGGATGAAGTCAAGTGCTGAATGTCTGATCACAGAGCCTGGACCTTTGTCGAGCTTGCCCGCGAGACTGACATTCCCGCTGCAACTGCTGCCCGAGATATGTGTGATAAACTGAGGATGGCCAAGAGGGTGTGCGCAAGGGTACCTATTGGGTCATCCCATTCAAAACTGCGCCGCCTACATATAGAGGAATCGCAGAAAGTCAAAGGCGGGACATAGAGCCAGCGGGCTACGTTATATTATTTGCGAAGCTAGCTACCTTAGATGTGCTAACTGTAAATTTGAGCTACCTAAGCCCAGAGAGTCGCAGAGAAATTGAAAAGAAGCCAGAGTGGTGAAAATCAGCGCCGGTTTTTCAAATCAGACGTCATAAGAGGGAAGTGCGCTGCTCAAATTTGACCTGCGCCGCCGCCCATAGTTGGAGTAGAGGTGTTCTCAAATACACGTGGAAGCATTGGATCAGGAGCGCCGTACAAGGAAGAAAGGAAAAAATTTTGCCGTGATGTCGCATAATATCATCGACTGCACAAGAAAAGTGCGCGAGACTGACATCCCTGCTGCAATTACTGTACGTGTTATGACCGATAAACTGAGGATGGTCAAGGGGGTGTGCGCATGGGTACCCAATTTTCTTATAGAAGACGAACGCAGTACCAATTCTATGCCGTTAGCATATGTTTCTCAGCATGAGATGTCACTCACAACTGTGAAAACGCACCCAGGCCTTAGATGAAATATGGGTGGTCTCGGACCTCGAGCCGAAACTCACAATCGTCAATTTTCTATGAATGCAGATGAGAAGCCGCCCGAGTTCTACCATGAAGAGTTACGTGGGCGCAAGTGGATGATCATCATAGCCCAAGGATTGTGCTTTCAACGCTCGTATACAGAGAACAAAGCCATCACTGTCGCGTGCACCTCGGCATTCAGCATCGACAAAGGTTGCGAACCAAACAACTACAAGGAAGGCACGTTTGCCTCTCAATGAGTAGCAGCACCCGAGTAGCTGCTATTGTAGGATCCAGTGCTGGAGACACAAAACAGTACTGAGACCTGGGTTCGATCGCCTCATTCGCCCAACCTAAAGGCGTTCGTTTCCAACGTTCTGATCAGTCGAGGGTACTCTCCGACGGCAAACATCACAACGTTTTGCCATTCGCCGGAAGTGGCATCAACAGCAATTTACTCGAACCTGTCGAGAAAATGAAGGTACCAGAGAATTTCAAAGGCTTCGGGTACTGGGCAGTCATTTAAGGAAAAATCTTAGCTTAGACTACAAAAGCCCAAAATATCACTTTTCTATTGTATTTCTCCTCTTTTTTTAATCGAATAATCATCGGCATTTTTGAATGGGATGACCTATTACATAGCTGCTTCGATAGAGCCGGGAAGCTGTTCACAAGTATTGGAACCGATATCGCTGTCTCACAAGCGACTAAAAAGAAGGCAAACACCCAAATTCTTGGCCACAATAGCGTAGACCAAAGCACCCTTAGGCCATAGAGGATGCGATACCCTCTATGGCCTAAAAATGCCTTGCTGTGGGGTTCAGTTTTTTCTAGGAACGAATTTCTAGCCGAATCGAAAGTTCGGTCGAAACTTCGAAAAAAAATTGGTAAAGGACAAGTGTCCTGCAGCTGGGCTCGTGCTACTGTCAAAGAACGTTTTCCAGAATGGCTCCGTTATTGAGTGGAATATGGTGTTCTACATCTCCACTGTGATTGCTCTGTTGCCACTGATCGTATTCAACATGTGGGGTTCGGCTGAAGTGCAGTGGTGGGCAAAGAACCAGAAGATATCGACCGCATCTCAGAAGTCCGAGCCGAAGCAGACGGGACCAGATTCAGTTGCCTAGACCTTTCTAAACTGCCTTTCACACTGCCACTCGACTCACTCGCCACCATTCAGCTAACTCGTGATTGTGAACACTTGATAGTATTTTCTCGGTTCTTTTGGGAATCTTAGCAAAAAGTCTCATCACAAACGGGTTTGCTGCTATATGAATGTTGCTATTTTCTAAGTTATAGTGTGTTCGTTGATATTTAGAAGTTTTCAGTTGGAATAAATAAACAGAACAGATGTTTAGTTTTGAATATTCAATTCAATTCTCTTCTTTTCAGAAATTGGAACGAGTGAAAGAAAAAAAGTGCTTGCTCTGACCATAAGCATTATCTCTTGTGTTCAAGCAACCTCTCTTTTTGTAAATTCCCATAAGAAAAATAGGTCCATGAGCAGCACTACATTACGTAAAAGGCACTTCGTACGTTGAGGATTCCTTGCGAGCTATTATTAGGTTGGCGGGAAAGTTCTGTCACACTTTTTCGAACTCAAAATACTTGCCCATTACCTGAAGAGGGGTAACCGGTAATGTGAGCACTTATACATCAAGGAGTGGTCTTTCTATTAGTACCACTCGCTTGACTCCTGCTTCTTCTTCTGCAATATGGACAAGGATTTTATCCGCTACCATCGGCACCGACCCCTCCAGACGCTTCCTCAAACTCTTTCTTCCACCACCCTGACGCCAGCATGATAGCTGCAGATGCCAAAATAATAGTGAGATTTGGGTTACCTGTGAACCCAGCCCGAGGGAGCTTCCGGTCGTGAAGCTGTGGGTGAAGAAGCTGATTCCTTCAATCCGTACACAAAGATCTGAAGCGAGATCTGAAGCGAACCGTCGATCAGAGGGAAAAATTTGTCCGCACAGCCCCCTCATCATGATAGTGCAGCGCACTCCGTCCAAAAAAGTTCGAGCCGTACCTCATGCAATAGAGCTGGATGGCTCTCCCCTTGCACTGGTGTAGCACAGACATTGCTCCTTCTAACTGCGAGTTGCCTCCCGTACTCAATCGTTATGTGGACGAGAAAACCTCCATAACCCGAGTTCAAGTCAAGATTGAGATGGTGTCCAACTTTGCGTCGCGCCTCCCTGCATTGTGAAGCGATGGCATCTATGAGGTGCTCAAAAAGAACTTTCCCGCCTCCCTAGTATTTCTGGAAGGAACGGAGGGGATCGTTGACTTAGAGAAAGATTTCCGGTCTTCGGCCTCTTTCGGTTTCACCTGTTTCTTCCCAATATAGCTTCCCCTCGGACGTTTGTGGAGGTCGTATTTTGCAAATTCCCTGACGACGTGCTCTAGCTGCAGATGCACAGACAACGTGGTACAGCAGTATTGTTGCTCTATCGGAAGCCACAAAAATGGGCGTCCGATGAGTCAGCTGGTATTGTCACTGGCTTTCACAAGAATTTGGAGTTTGCTCAATATCAGTTCGGCAATCTCTTAAGCACCTGACCGAAAGATTCAATTTTATTCTCCAGCTTCTCTCTTCTTGCAACCTTGGCTTAGTAAGTGTTTCAGTTTTCTTGTGCCTTACGAGGTTGTTAGGTGGAACATTTATTTAAAGGCCTAACGTTTCGACTCAATCGTCGTCTTCAGAGGCCAATGTTTAAGCGGATAGGAAAATTTTCTACTAACAGCGCTCTAGTGTGGCAGCGGACCTATCCGCTTAAACGGTGGAACATGGCCTCTGAAGACGACGATTGAGTCGAAACGTTAGGCCTTTAATAAATGTTCCACCTAACAACCTCGTAAGGCACAAGAAAACTGAAACACTTTCAAATTTTATTGATCAGTAAAAAAAGAAAATCAAAGTGTTCCACGAGAAGAACCAATAACATAGGACCTTGCTACGCTGACACAGCCCCACATACATTCCATGTCCTGGAGATGGAAGGGGCGTGGCTGCATGCTTCATATGATCGTGGCAGTGGTCACACTAGTGGCATAATATTTCCTTTTTAAGACAATTGTAAGTTGGCATTCTCCAGCACAAGAAAAGATGGAAATAATACTTGGAAAACTCGTCCTACTTCATATTCGAAAGCACGCGGCCACACCCTTCCTATCTCCGGGGTATGAAGCGCATATTATCTGTTTGTCGGGCTTGAAGCACAACGTGGTAACATTAGAGGATGGAGTCGACAAGTAATCCTGCGCAAAACCACGGTAGACCCTGTCTAGTATGCAGTGAACAATAAATTGAAAAAAACTAAGTTACTTGACGACTCGACGACCGTTCAATCACTATCCTCCTCTTCCCCATCCTATTTCATTTTGCCATTTAATCTGAGGCTTCTCTGGAAGGTAGGTGTTCTAGCTAATCACTTTTGCATGGGACTTCATCGTCCATGTCACGGTACCTCTGATTTTCAAGGCGAGCTGATAGGTATAGCCAATCAGTACACTGTCACTGGAGCAGGTATGTCGTAAAACGGCCCCTTCGATGGGTCCCAGCATTTCAGTCAATAGCTCAGACTTCCTTGTTTCTTACCTCTTATTTGTTTCCCCTCTCATGGAAGGCTTACAAGGAAAGGATGGTTGGTCGAAGTGGCCATTTAAGACAAGATGTATACTCACTGATGCGTCTTCGGACGCTGATTTCAAATCTGCTTTCCATATCTGCTGAACGATTCTCTGAGCAGAGATATGCAGGAGGTTGTTGTACGGAGCACAATGGAGCTTGGTATACAAATAAGGCGTTACATGGTGTGCTTCGGTAGCCTAGTGGGTAGTATGCCGGAC